ATGTGTATCAGTGGCACAGTGCACCTCCACACTGAGAAAATGGCAGCAGTACACTTTTAACTAAAACACATCAAATGCCACCATTTTCTCAGAGAGGTGGCACACTGTGCTGCTAACACATGTGATGCACGAGGCTACCAAAGTGCATCAATTTATGTACTCCAGCAGACTCACTTAATCAAATGATAAGGCTCCCCACATGTGTGCAAGTGCCCTAGAGACTAACTGGTTCAGACAGGCATAAGCTTTCATAGACAACAGCCTACTTCATCAAAAGCTATGAATGAACTCATTGAAAGAGAGAGTTTCAAATAGAAGGGAATTTAAATACAAAGGATAGGGAGAGAGGATACTACTGAGAGAGGGGAAGGTGGGTTGAATAGGTTGATAGAGAGAAACACAATAATCAACCCACTGAGGATTTCAGTGGGACAGTAAAGTTAATCACAAGTGTTAAATGCCTGCAGGGGCAGCATTTAAGGCTGATGGCCATTTCTGTGTGGGTCACACAAGCCCCTAGGCCCACAGTAAAGGGAGGCATTGGAAGTGGGGGGGGACTGAGCCTCTAGCCCTGTAGAGTGGACAGCAGGGGCAGGACAAGAGTAGGTATCAGGTGTCACCACCAAGAGCCAAGTTAACCCCTCTCCGGCCTGCAGCCACCACCAAAATCATGTTGCTCCAATGCACAAACTCTATCAGGTAATGTTCTGTGGGGTTAGGATCAGAGTGACACGCAGGGACGGGGTGGGCCTTTACTTGTGGCATGCATGTGAAGAAATGCCCACTATTGATTTGGGATGTCCTTAGCTGTTCAGTTCTTTGCTTTTAGTTACTCAGGTTTTATAAAGGATGTGATATTTTGTTATCAGTTAGACATTATAGACAGATTTTAAAAGGAAAACTTTGGGTTGTCTTTATGCATGTATAGAGATAGATATTTCATACAAAAGCAATGTTAAAAGAACATTATTAAGATCATAAAGTCACGCCCTAAAAAACTGAGGCCCCATCTACATGTAACACTTAAGGCATGATTAACCAGTTAATCATGCCTTAAGTGGTCACATTGTTAGGGTAGCTTGTCACTTCTAGCTTTAGTTGCACCTGCTTAAGTGATGAATTATAGTATTATTTGAACTTTTCTTTTATATGCAGCATTATTTAAACATTGCTTAAGGTTTTGTATAGTCTTATTATTATTTGAACATTTCTTCTGCATTTGGCGCTTGCCTTGAGCTCACTATCACATTGTTCCTTTCTTATCAATATGAGAAGCAATTTATGTTCTTCTAACGTTATCAGCATAGGCATGTATAATGTAGGCCTTGTTACTAGCTCAAATTAACTGAACTTGGCACTAACCAACTTAAACAGAGGGATGACGTGATTGGATATGTTAATGAAAGGTGATATGAGGGGACCAATTGGATAATGCCCAATTGCAGAGCCCTTGGAATTTCCGGTTTTGATGGACAGACCAAATTAGGAGTCTGGGGCATACCCAAATTACGACACTGGTAAAAGAGCAAATTAAGATGTGTGCATGTGATGAGTTTGTTAGAACAAAGGAATATGCTGACAGGATAAAAACATGAACAGTATGATGATCAGAGGGAAACCAATCAACGGTACCCGGACATGAGTAATCAGAGAAGTGAAGTTAAAGAAAAAGCATAGAAGGGGGAACAAGGAAGTTGGACGTGTGTCATCATCCAACAACATCTAGAATGAAAAACAGCCATTACCCACAAATGACCACCCTCTACTTTCAGGAACCGATTGGCCACCTTTTCTGTGAAGTAAAGTTAACATCTGGGGTTCGGTGAGACCATTGAACTAAGTGTTTTTCTCTCTATGTAGAAAATATTCATACATTTAATGTGTTAATAAAGTTAGATTTTGGTGAAGTTAAACTGTCTGTGTATGACGTATTCCACATTTACACAGGTTAATTATGCTTTAATGATCCTTTAGCACCATGGACGCATAACAACCTGGCCACACATTCAAGCAATTAATGGCATGATAAGAAGAGTAAGCTACAAAGTTATTCCACAAAATATTCTAATATAACAAAGGGCTTAGTCTGTCTGTCTATATGTCTGTCTGTCCATAATGCTTTTGGCCAACTGCGCATGTGGCACCAAGTGGGTGGGTGGTGATTGGCTGTGCGGCCCAGGCTGCACAGGCTGAAGTTTGAGCCACTGCTAGGGAAGTTTGTGGTGGCGGCGAACACGCCTCAGCCACCGGATCACTGGGGCTTCCCCACGCCTCCCTGCCTGAGGGCAAAGCGGGGGGGGGGTCACAGTCGTGGCACCCCTCCACTGCCCATCCCCAATGACCCTGAGAACATCTAGCAGGGAGGGAAAGGCAGCAGGTAGGGGGGTAGGGAGGGGAGCGGGCCAGGGGGAGGCGAAGGGGGAGTTACGGTGGCGGCTGTTGTCAGGGCTGGACGGCAGGGAAGGAGGGAAGGGAGCAGGAAGAGGGCCCTGACAACAGCCAGCAGGGAAGGGGAGGCAACAGGGAGGAAGACAGGGGGGCAGGAAGGGGAGGGAGCCCCTGTGCTGTAGGCTGGAGGAGGCAGTGGAGAGAGTCTTCATATGGCTAGTCCCAAAGAGTGAGCAGAGGGCCAGGGGGGGCCATGTAAACACTCCCTGAAATCCATCATTCTTGACAGGCAGTTAGCTAGTGTGTAACTTTGTAGCTGCTTCCTAATCACCATTAATTGAACGCATGTCCAGGGGCCCCCATGGCTGGGAACCCTGTCAACTGATTGGAGCTCCCACCTGAAAGGACCTATGTGCACCCCTGAGCCTAGGAGCTTCCAGTTGACAGGTCTCTCAGCCATGGGAGAGACCGCAGCTGCTGCAGTCTCCCAGCTGAAGGGGGGGGGGGGGGGGTGGGGCAGCCCCACAACTGGGAACCCCATCAGCTGAGGGGGCTCCCAGCCATGGGAGCTTGCTTCTTGCTGGTGCAAGGAGAGCCTGGGTTCTGAATTCAGATCCCCTCCACCTTTGCATTAATTACTACTTTTCCCCACTATTATCATCCTGGTGGGCAGAATGCAGCAGATCCTAGGGAGCAAATAATAAAGAAAAAAGAAATGGGAGTGAGAGTCCCAGGCTTAAAGTGGAGTCAGAATCACAGCAAGGGTGTTTTAAGCAGGGAGCTGAAAATAGAAGTGATGCACCTTTGTGGATATTTATGTGTAGGACAACATGGAAGAAAGCAATAAGTAAGTGATGGAAGCTGATATTATGGACCAACTACAAGTGAGAATCAACTTTGAAATATTACCTAAGAGCTGATAGGTAGGCTGTGAAAGAGAGTGGGGAGGGGAAGGGTGGACAAGCATCTTATGTTTGATGTGATAAAGATGTGGGTGAAGTGGAATGATGCAGAGCTAAGGTCACTACCTGGTTCAAGCAACAGGCTTGGAGATTGATCTTTGCAACAGCATTCAGGATGAGTGTGAGACTTCTCAAGAACAGTAAAAGAGGTGCACAGGGATGGAGACACGATGTGAATCTAGACAAGAGTTTTAGCTGGGTACAGGGAAAGGCTGCATCTTGGATATTTATGCACAAATAATCTTCAAGATTTAAACATAGGCTTGATGTGAGGGTCTAGGGAGAAGTCTAAATTGAAAAAAACCCAGATTACAAGGATGAGTGACAGGCAAGATAGTTATATTGTCCACAGGGATCAAGAAAGGAGGTAACAGGAAGGGTTTATGGAGGAAGATCTATTTTAGCCATGCTTAGGTTAATCTCATGATTTATCATCTCTGAAAAGAGGTCAGACAGATTAACTGAAATTTAGTTTGACTAGAAGGAGACCGATCTGTAACGAAATATCTGTGAGTCATC